AGAATCCCTGATGCATCCTTACATTTCTATCCTGATGACTGAGTTGTTTGTTGTCAATTTTAAAAAGTTGCCAAGGTTTTCCAGCTTTCGCAATCCGCTTTTGACATCCAGTCAGATTTGTTCCATCTCAAACTTGTCCTAAACGTCGACCAAACCAAACAGATGCTTTTTTTTAAACAGGAAGTCAGTTCCAGTAGTTCTTCCTTTGACTTTCTCGAATGATGTCCCTTTTGAGTTTGTCTATTCCTACAAATATTTGGGTATCTTGGACAATTCCGCATTTCTTTTTTAAGCTCCATGTGCAAAAAATCTAGTATGGAAACTGAAAGTTAAATTGGGTTTCTTTTTCATAAACAGATCCTGTCTAACTCTGAATGCTAGGAAACGGCTTGTGACTGCAACTTTCCTTCCCTCCATCGACTATGGTGACATTATTTACATGAACACCTCCACAAGTACCCTACAGATGTTGGATGCTGTTTATTATGGTGCACTAATGCCCCTTTTCCACTGTCACGGCGCGGGACGGTTATTTACGGCTTGAAATGTGTTTGAGGTCTTTTCCATGGTTCTTGGGACCAGCTCACCTCCCAGAATTCTGGCCCAGCTTCTCAAGGGGTCCAAGTGAGCCGAGCCGTGACGTCAGAAACACTGTTGGTCACTGATTGGTTGGGGGAGGAGTCTGTGGAGTCTTTCCAAACAACCCGATCCGCCATTTTTCTCTACCGCTTACCATTAGCAATAACACAAGGAGCGTATCTTTTAGTATTTTGAAGCTATACAAAAACAATAATATCAAAGCCGTGGTCAAATGCAGAGGTGCAGGTGTTGTTGTGCTTGGTGGCCGATGAAAAAAGTCAAAGCGAGCTAGATGGAGCAATTGAGGGGTGGTTTGGACACGGTTACTGCTCTACTTGAATCATTTATAGAAGATGGTGAGTGTTTTCTAACTTTAAACATATTTTAAGTGACTCATCCCATCGGTTCTGAACATATTTTTAACTAACAAAAGAGGCTGACGCCATAATAGGACAACATCGGTGCTACGATGCTAAGCTAATTTGCATAAACGCTAACTGTCCTCCAGTCCCGTTTCTCACTATATTTTATCCAGAACGTATTTCAGCAAGTGACCGTTCGTCAGAACGTCGACAGAGCTCCATAACAGCCCACCTGCACCTCACAGAGCAGCACAACGCTGCAGCCTTCTCTGCTCGGTAAGAACAGATGCAACATGTTCCACATCACTTTATTCGTGCCAATAAGGACTTACTTTTATTTTATTTTTAAAGTAAAAAAAAATAAATGTTGAATAAATACTGAATTGGGATGAAATTATGTACACAGGGTCCCAGTCACAAACAACAATAAAATGTAAAAGAAAAACAGTAATAAGATCTAAGATATGAACTAAGAAAAATATCAACTAAAAAACATCTACTAATAATAATAAGCACTAATAGCAGTAAACAATTAAAACAATATGTCACACAGCAACATGAACTTGAATTTGTGCAGCCTTATGAATATCTAACCAGAATAATCACTGAAAAATCACATCATGTTGCTGCTGATCGTTTCATGTTGTTGCTGATCTGTTTCATGTTGCTGCTGATCTGTTTCATGTTGCTGTGTTCATTCGTGCTCGTCTGTTCACACAGACTCATGTCCGTGCTGCTGTTCGGCGTATTGTGTTTAATGTTTTTATGCTATTAGAGCTTATCATATTTTTAGTTGATGTTTTTCTTAGTTCATATCTTAGATCTTATTACTGTTTTTCTTTTATATTTTATTGTTGGATGTAACTGGGACCCTGTGAACATAATTTTGATCCACCACATGTACCACGTGTGGTGCGAATGACAATAAAGAATATCTGCATCTGTATAATACTTTCTGATTCATATGTCCACTGTTATTATTATATTATTTTCATTATTTTTAAATCAATTTATTTTTCATTTACTTATTTGATCAGTTTATTATTATTAATATATCTATTATAGCTGTTAGCTGCACCTTTCTTTGTTTCATGCATTTATTCAAAAACAGTATGTAGCTTGAATTAACCACCTGTTTCTTGTTTCTAGTGAAGAGAAAGAGAAAAGAGTCCAGTAAAGAAAAGTCTTATTTCATCACTGAATGAACATGAAGAACTGAAGCGGACACAGCAGGAACAACACTTGTGTCTTCTTCTGGATGAAGCCCGTGAGACGAGGGACACACAGATACACAATCATTAGTTGGACGCAGTAGTTTTTATTTTTCTACATTTTTCACTTCTTACTTTTCATATTAAACATTTTTTTTCTTAAGTGGTGTCCTTGAACATTAAATTTCATAAACAAATTTTACAATGTTAAGTGCAGATAGTGTTTGTTTAAATTCATACTGGAAGTTGAGAAGAATTTCCAGTTGCATTTGATCTTTAATGGATCCTAAGAAAAGATTACCAGAATCTGCTCAACTGTTGTTATAAATTTTTTGGTTCTAGGATGAAGTGAGACAAAAACAGTCAAAAATTCAGAAAAGACAGTTGTCTGTTATCAGTTATCAGTTATCATTTATCAGTTATCAGCCGTACAACTGTGGCCTGAGAGATTCAGCTGAAAGTCCTGGTGCACCTTTTATTTGAACCTGCAGAGATTTGAACAGCTGATCTGAAGCAAACAGGCAGGAGTTCACCTGAACTGACCACTCCTGCTGTTTGATGGTCTCCTCCTTCACCATCCATCATCCATCCATCCATCCATCCATCCATCCATCCATCCATCCATCCATCCATCATCTTCTGCTTCAGGGTTGTGGGAGCAGCATCTTCACCAGGGAGGCACAGACATCAACAGCCTCCTCTTCAACTCTTCTAGGACCCCATGGTGTTCACAGACCAACTGACTATTTATTAATTAATATCCTGATGCTGCTCAATAATCCAGGTAGAAAAATCTAAAAAGTTAAGTCTGGTCCTCTGGACACTCACAAAACAAACAATACAGTTTATAATAAATAAACTAAATGTTTTTTGTTTGTTTGTTTTGTGAATGTCCAGAGGACCAGACTTAACTTTTTTAGATTAATAAGTAATAAATTTATGTTTTTAAATTTAATGAAAGACAAACCTTTAAAATTTAAGGACAAAATTTAATCTAATTGTTTTCAAGTCTTCTTGTAAAAGCAGTTTCAAAGATTATAGCACAGTGTGATGTTTTGTAATTATAACATGAACCTTGTGCATATCTGTAAATAATAAAAGTGAAGATATTTTTAATACATCTTTATTGTAAAAATCTATACTAAAATGAAAAACACATGGGTTTAAAGCAGCAGGAAGGCAGTAAGGTAGGATTATGAATCAGGTTTAAAAGTTACAGCTCATGAGGTACTCCATTAGAGCATGACATCTCTTCCACAACATCTTGTGACAAAACTTTCAAGGTGTTCTTCTTCTAATACGTTTAGTGGTGGCTAGTAAGTAGCTTAAGAGAGTGCTACCGGCACCAGGTGGTAAGACCAGTTGGATTCTGGTCCCCGCCTAAATGGAAACACAACGACACACAAGCCGATCTGAGCTGACCCGAACTGACTTGATCCACACTGTAACAGTGGAAAAGGGGCGTAAGATTCATAACTGGCTATATCTACCGTACCCGTCATTTCACCCTATATTCACTGGTTAACTGGACATAATTAACTTCACACAGACTCTCCCACTGGTACATTTTCATCTTTAAATCACTTCTTGGTCTGCTGCCTTCATACATCCGCCTACATGTCACTGCGTGAGTGCAGCTACATCGTGCACTTTCAGGACATTATTACCTGCAGTGTTCCCTCAGTGCAGACTGAACTGGGCAAAAGGGCCTTCTACTCTGCTTCTGTTTCCTGGAATATCTTGTAAAAAGATCTGAAACTCTCAACATTGACATGTCTAAGTGGTTTTAAACATCTCTTATGTTCCTGGGAAAAACCAACGCAGGCATGTTCTTGTTTTTAGTTTTCTACATTGCCTTACAACATAGCTGTTTTTTTTTTTGTTACATTTTCTTTTAAATATCATTTTATTTTCACTTGTTAAAAAAATCTCAATTTGTACGCATCCTTTATGATTGACTATTGTTGTCTTTGTTGTTCAACTGTTGTCATCACTCTTTGTTAAAATCAGGTCTCTCTTGTAATGAGTCCCTGAAGCTCAATGGGATTAACCTGTATAAATGTAGCCCGGGAAATAGTTAACCTCACAGGACACAATAACTGGGGTTCTGAATGTGCAGCATTTTATTTACAGTCAAGACAAGTTAAACAAAAACGTCTTGTCTCTCTCTCTCTTTTTCAACAACCAGAACAGACTTATGCTGAACTTTTGGTAACCACAGAATAAAATAAGAGATAACATAAAACAAAAAAACAAACAAACAAACAAGGAAATACGGCAGTGGCCTTTGGATTCCACAGCAATACCTCAGCTCACTTTGCATGCTGGAGTACAGAGATAATCTCGCATCTTATTCTTACACCAATGAAATGACCGCTCTGCACCACACATGCAGGCCTCCGATTTTCTGCAAGAATTAGTGCCTTTTGACAAATCACGGTTCTCCTCCAAGCAAAGTACAGCAAACAGGGAGTCCCAAGATGCATTTTATACCCAGTCTTGGGAGAACAGTAATAGATTTTAAGCACTGCCCTCTGGTGGCCAAACTGTACAACAGAGGCCTACAATAAAACATACTTGAGTGTGCAAAATATGCAGATAAATAAAATGGCATAAACAAAACAAAATTACTTAACCAACTGTTAAAGATGGGAGCTGCTGCGGGCTACCAGATCCGGAAACCCCCCTAGCTCACGTCTTTACCCCCGGCTCGAACCCTCCTCAGAAGTGGCAACTATACTAATCAATAAATCAAGGAAACGTCAATTAAGTTTTATCAATTATATTAGAAAAAGGCAGTAAAAGATTACAATTTACAGCACTGGACTCTATTCAGTCTGTGACGCGTTCACAGACCCAGAAGAAGAGCCCTGATGTCTCGTGTCATCATTAATTTATAGGGCCCTAGACGCCGCCCTTCGCAGAAGGTGGAGCTCAACCTGTCAGTGTATGAGGGTGCAGGACTAAGTGTGGTCTTATGTGGACTGACGTGTAAGGAAAACATGAGACGGTGCTTTAAAGCCTGTCCTACGTGATGTGGCAAGCTGATTAAATTATTTCTTGACAGATATTCAATTATCAGGGAGACTCTCTTAAGAGTTTTCTGGCCAAGTTTAACCCAGTTAGAACCGGGTCACAATTTTATTATAATCCCGTCTCTGAGCAGATCAAAACATAAGACCAGTCTAAATAGGAAATATCTTAACAATAGCATTTATGTTGTAAACAAAAATGTAAATCAACACCTCAATACCTTAAAGTGGAGTTATTCAACTAAAGTAAAAAATATAAATCTACCGCCCGGCTACATAAATAAAGGTTGAATGAATGAATTTAGCTAAATTCAGCTTTACAAAATGTAGTCAGCATGTTTTGCAAAGTTCCAAACTACATTGACACAAAGAAGCTGCTGTGTGGTTTGAATGTGATGTACGTCTTCTGTGTGGTGTGTTTAATGGCAGTGAGAAAGCTGACAGCAATAGCAAGATCTCATGGACTGAAAGTTTTAAGAACACTGGTGCAGCCCTCCTGCCAGAATCAACAAATCCTCAGACAATCTTGCAGTGAGGAGATAGAGTAAGTTTTGAAAAAGTAATAAATGGTAAAATTTGTAAAATGCAACCTTAGGATGGCTCCCTCAACATCGTCAATTGTGTCGAGCAGGGGCTTGTTGGCCGTCTCAGGCAGCAGGAGGGTGAGAGCAGAGCCCAGCAGTGGACAGAGACCGGATACAACCATGGGAGCATGAGGACTGATGGTCCTCAGAAGATACATCATGGGGGCCAAGACACCCCCAATCCGTGCACACATGGATCCGATCCCAATCCCATTTTGTCTGTGAATTAGAAAAGAGAAAAAACAGATTCCTGGTGTAAATTCACCAAAACAATTAGACAATATGTAACAACTAAACAGTAGACGGGATATTGATGTCTGTACTTTACTTACTTTTAGGAAGAAATAGTTAGTTCTAGTTAGACTCTTCATTATAAAAATGTGATTTAAAGTTAAATTAGTGTGAATATTGAAATGTGAGCTTTGAAGGTTTAATAAATATCAACTTGACACCAACACTTTAGATGGAAGTGGCCTGAACTGTTGTAATTCAGGACCCCCTGAGGGCTTCAGATCAGTGTTAGAGAATCCATCCATCCATCCATCCATCCATCCATCCATCCATCCATCCATCCATAGACTACTGGCATCCATCCATCCATCCATCCATCCATCCATCCATCCATCCATCCATCCATCCATCCATCCATCCATCCATCCATCCATCCATCCATCCATCCATCCATAAATGGTAAATGGACTGTGTACTTACTGTATATAGCACCTATCTATCTTAAGATACTCAAAGCACTTTACACTACAATTTGTGCCCTCATTTACCCATTCATACAGCACTCTAATATACAGTATCTATACAAAGATTAATCAGTGCTTTAGATCACATTCATACGCTGATGGGGCACACATCGAAGGCAATAAAGGGTTCAGTGTCTTGCCCAGGGACACCTCGGCATGTGACTGCTGGTGGAATTGAACCCCCAACTCTTGCATTAAGAACGACTGCTCTAACCACTCAGCCACAGCTGCCCCTCCATCCATCCATCCATCCATCCATCCATTTCTTTTGTTTACTCATGATCAGGTCATGGAGCCAGCAGGTCCAGGAGGAAAACCCAGACCTCCCTTTCTCTAGTGCCACTCTTCCACTCCTAATCTATCTAGCATCCTGATCTGTCCAAACCACCAATAAATCCAGAATATTGCCTTTCACCTCAGCTTCTTCATCACCACAGACCAGAGCACCACCCTCTGAAAATGAGGCCTGGGTCCATCAGTCCATCTTCTGCTTCATCTCCAAGGTGCTTGTACTCCTCCACTTGAAGAAGGGACTCATACCTGACTAGGAGGGAGCATTTTTACACCCTATTCTCATCTTGAACAGAATATAAAAATATGTATTAAGTAACCTGTTTTGGGATCAGTCACTAAAACTCTATAGGATGCTCGTGATCTCCATGCCCTTAAACATCACTGCACCTCAAACAGGAATGCCACTGTCAAGGAAATAACAGAATGGGCTCAGGAATACTTCCAGAAAGCATTGTCAGTGAACACAATCCACCGTGCCATCCACTGTTGCCTGCTGAAACTCTACAGTGCAAAGAGGAAGCCATTTCTAAGCAAGCTCCACAAGCTCATACGTTTGCACTGGGCCAGGGGTCATTTAAAATGGAGTGTGGCAAAATGGAAGACTGTTCTGTGGTCAGATGAGTCACGATTTGAAGTTATTTTTGGAACACTGGGACGCCATGTCATCCGGACCAGAGAGGACAAGGATAGCCCAAGTTGTTATTAACGCTCCGTTCAGAAGCCTGCATCACTGATGGTATGGGGTTGCATGAGCGCTTGTGGCATGGGCAGTGTTGGATTTCATATTTTTATACCTTTTTATATTTCCTATCAAGCATTCAAATTTCATGTTATATCATGTGTGTGTGTGTCGGTTTTCTTTAGAGTTTCCTCACAATCATTTAAATGTTAATCAATTAATTTGCATGAGTATCCACTTTATATATATAATCTCACCCTAGTTAGGGTCAATCTTATAGATTTACAATCTTAGAAATTTACATTTTGATATATTTACAAGCGAATCACAACGGGGCCATGGCAGGTAAGATACTGTTTACTTACAGCAGGACGGTTGCTGTACTGAGAGGGGAAGCCCCCACTCACTGAGTAACCCCCACACACACACACACGGACTGATTAACATAAAATAATCTAGAACACATTTCTCTAACTTAGACTTAATATAGTTTGACTAAATAAAATTAGTAAGATAATAGAAAGTAGCATTTAATCGTTTAACAATTGTTATCAGTTTAGAGGAGAGGATCTTCACAGCAAAACACCAGGGTTTGACTAACAAGAGCAATACAATTATTTATGATATGTAACCTCAAGGGCATATCTGGCAAAGCAGAAGAGCCCCGTAACCATGACAACGGGTTGTTTAAACCAATCAGAGAGCCCGATTGCTCAAATCTGTGATAAGGTCCAGACACGAGAGGGAAAGAGCAGCATTTGCGGGGGAACTCATCTGATCAGGTCGGTTTTTGGTAAATGCTCCTGTATGCATACATGTAATTTGATTTTATGAACTCTAAATACTTGTAATTTGTTGTCCAATAAATCTTTTGAACTAAGGTGGCCCGTATCAGCTGTTTTGAACACCATTAGTGGCTCTCAGCCACGTCAAATGGTGACCCCGAACGTGCAGCTGGCGGACAGAACAAATTGGATCGAGGTGGTTTGCGGTGTACACGCAGAGGAACTGGGCCCGATAAATTTCAGGTAAGCTGGCTAACTGTTTGGACCTTAAGGTCCGGAGTACTGGCTATTCGGCCGTAAACCAAATTCAAACCAAATTCAAACCAAATTCAAATTCCTCTGTTGGTGTGTTCGTACCATCTCCTGAATAAAGATGGTTGATAAGCTAATATAAAGTGATTAGTGGAACTTCTGACGTACAGATTACTTGTATTCAGACTTGGGGGTGTGCACGACACGTGCGTGCTTGGCCGCATGCGTGTAAGTGTGTGTGTGTCCTGTGCATGGCTTTGTTTAGATAGAACACGATTTAGAATTGTGGCGGAGGAAGGCCGTGGAGTCTGCCGTTAAAAAAAATATATAGAAAAAACGTTCACTTTGTTTTCAGCGAGGTTGGCCGCTAAAGGGTTCACCTGACGAGGTGAACTTAACGAGTCTGGGACTCGGGGGCTGTGGGGCGCGTCTTTCCACCGCGGGTGTTGACTGTCCGCTAAATTAAGCGCAATTGTTAATTTAGTCGAAGTGAACGTTACAGTCTGGGACTTAGTACCAAATTTCCGGTGATCTGGGATCGCTTTAGGGATAGGATATTGTCGTACCGTGCCGTGCTGTGACTGTGAGTCTGTGTGTATGTGAGTCTCGTGTGTGGGGGTGGGGGGGCCTGAAGCTGTGTGTGTGAGGCTGACAGAGGAGATTTGTTAGATCTCCCTGTTTATACTGGTGTGGGGGAAGGTGCAGCCTTTTCTTTTTTGGTTTGCTCTGTCCTTCTAGGTGAAAGTGTGTGCGCTGGTCTCTGTGAGTGTCAGGTGACTCGGACTGACTGGAGCATCCATATCCTGACCGAAAGGGGGCGCTGTTGTATAAGGCAAGGACAAGTCTGGACTCTGTTTTTTTTTTTTTTCCATACAACAGACTTGTGTATTGTTTTATCACAACGGGGCCGGCTGTGCATGTGAATGAAAAAGATTTGAATGCCTAAGTGTGTGAACGTTGTCATCAGGTGTGGAACTCATAAATGTGATACAATCTAAACGAGATGGAACAATTTTGAATATGAAATAAGTATAAAAGTCCAGCAGACCAATAGCTAAAACAAGCAGAAACAGTCTTAAAGTACCAAAAGTAAGTGAGTAGAGCTTGGGTTTCCTGAATTAGGCTGTAAAAGTTGGATTAATTTAAAAATAAAGGTGGAATTAGCTGATATTGGCATGAAACAGCTAAATGGTATCTGGAATGTAAGCAAGAATATCTGAATCTTCCAAACATTAGCTGAAAGGAGCTCAATGTTCAGAAATTAACCGGAATACGTCAGTAGAAGTAAAAAACGTTGGAGTAAGCTGAATACAGCTTAAAAGGGGGAGGAGGTGCTTGGAGGTGGTACATCATCAGGGGTGATCTTGGCAGGAGGAGATCTGAACGCCATTTTCAGTCACTGAACGTAGGGAGAGAAACGTAATACATCGTTTAAAACAGGAAGAATAATCAGCAGCTGATTAGACCACAGCTGTCGGAGGCCAGACATAAACGGGGATAAGAGAGCGAGGTCGAAAACCATTTGTGTGTTCAATCAGTGTCGGAGGTAAAGGAGGAGGCAGTGGCCTCTGGAACAGTTGATCTGCAGCAATGGTTTGAAACTCAAGGCCAGAGGGGGACATCCCGTGTAGGAGCGGTAATTAACCGAGAGATGGAGTCAGAGGGAGTCAGCTGGAGGTATTGTTGGAACAGCTAGCTGTGTGGGAAGAGGAAGATGGCAGACAGTCACTCACTAAGCGGGCGAGGGACAGAGGTAAGTTGATAACAAACGTACTGAACAGACAGGCAAAGGTGGAGAGCTGCTGACAGAGAGCTGCTGACATGATGCAGAGAAGAAAGGTGAATGGTTGAGGTGTCAAAGAGACCAAGTAGAAGAGCAGCATGGCTCACAGCATTGGTGCTGGGTTCAAACTGTTTTATCAGGGTGTGGATAGAAAGAGAAATGGAGTAGGGGTGGTCTTGGAGGAAGTGAGGCGTAGGTCTGACGAAGGCCTAAGAGGAAATAAGGAGGATGATTCGTTGTGGTGACTTCTGTGTAAGGGTCCCACTGCCTGCAGCCTGCCTTGCTGATGGCCGCTGAT